TTATAGAAATTAAATAAATATCTTATCGATTTTTTATCACATAAGGATCGATTAAGTTAAGATTAAGCTTATTTAAAATCGATCAGTCTAACTAAAAATAAAGAAAAAAGACAAAAGTCGTTGAACGTCGGTATGATCAAATCGTTATGCTAACATCTGAACGTGCCAATTCAAGTTCACCAAAAGATTCAAATTTGAAATATGATCAATCAACTCACCAATTTTTTTATAGGTATACAAAAAAAATTTATATTATATTAATGTAATTAATATCGCTGGTTTTTCCGGATAAAAACAGATWTATTATGAATTTTTCATAAATAGTTCATAATATCACTAACAAGTCGCGATATACCCCCATATCCCAAACTTAAGTGTATGTACAATCTTTTTATGTAACAWATATGAAATAATTACAGTAAATCACAAATTATCTTCTTCGAAGTTAGATTATTGGAAAGATATCTCCGTATAGCGTGTTCTATATTTTCCACTGACAGGATCAAATTTAGTAGGAATCTAAAAAAATAACAAAACGTGATCGCAAATTTATTTGGCAACTCGACAGAACGAAATCGAGCTTATTCTTGAAATATAGTTTTTAAATGGCATAAAGWGGGCCTATAAAATTTCAAAAACGAAAATCGCGTCTAAGGCTGTCAAAAACAAGCAATGGTGCTCGCTGCAGCAGATTCGATACGACGGCTCGTGCAGATAATACAAGAGGAAATCGATCGGATGAATATGAGGTTYGTGGGATTTCGAATCTAAGTTTTCCGTCTGAAGTCTGCGTGTGCGTCGATACTATACTCGGATRTAAWAATAACAATACAATACGAGACGAGACGATTTCCTTCAATCGCATTAATTGTAGTCACGGTTTGCCGCCGTCATTTGCATCGCGCGACCGCCGCCGGTTCGCCATTCAGATGTCCTGTACGAACCCGAAAAGGACGAAGGACCCGCGCCCGCGCGCGCACATAGAACGGCGGCATCCGCTTAGTATTCCGGCGGCGACGCGCGTCGACCGTAAATGCGGAGAGATTAGCGTATTTGTCACGCGCCACCCGCAACCGGTCTCGTCCGGCCAGCCGTCGTTATGTTGGGCAGTGGGCCAGTGCCGGTGGTATATAATGGTCGCGCGGAGAGGCGTGGCCAAACATTCGTTTACGATGCACAGCAGAAGAACAACAGTGTCCGTGTCGTCGCTCTCGGCGGTGGTGCTAGCCGCGGTCGCACTGGCCGCGGCCGGGGTCGCGGTTGCCGACCGCCCGGTGGACGGTCTGCTGGACAGGGTGCTGGACAGGTGTTCGCTGGGACCGGGAGCCGTGGGCTGTCTGAAGGGTAACGTGTTGGAGTTCTTGCGGGACGGTCGCGCCGCCAACGCGGAAGCCGACGGTGACGTAGACGCAGAGCTGGTGCGAGCTGCCRGCGCGTACATCGAACGTCGTGTCAATGAACCGAACGTCGTCGAAACCGCTCCGATGCGGGACGCCCGGGCCATGGACAACGAAGCTGCTCCAGCCGCCGCTGCAACAACTACCACCACAGCTAGAGGTTTGGATATTTTAAGTATAATCGAATTTCTCAAGGTTATCCGATCTGTATATAAATTCGTTCAGTCATTACTGAAGCTCAAACAATCCGAACTCAATATTGCGTTTATACCGTTTGTAGCTGACATGGAAATGGGCATGATGCAAGACAAAATGCTGATGCCACTCATGATGATGATGAAGATGAAGCTCAAGATGCTCATGCCCATAATGATGGCCCTCGTCAGCATGAAGGCCACCAAGGCGCTGGTGCTCAGCAAAGTGGCTATAATGCTGGTCCTAGGGTTCCTCCTCAAGGAGTTCATGAAGAAGTCAGGCATTCCCGGGCTCCCGTTGCACCTTCCCGGATTCCCGGGCTCCRCCGAACCATCGTCAACTTCCGGACCTCCCCCCATGTACGGACCACCGCAGTCTTCCGGTTATGAGTCGTCCAGCTCGTGGGAGCCCACGGGTTACTCGAGCCATTCCTCCGATTCCGCTCATTCGATGGCCTACAACAGTTACCAGCCATCGTCGTCGTCTTCGTCTGGTTCGTCGGCGAGCCTGTCGTCCAACAAATATTGAATTGGTCTTAGATTTGTATCCTAGGTACCTTTACTAAATTATTGTTTGGATTTATATCATTATTTTATTATTTATTATTCAGGTTTAGCTAAATTTATTTATTTATTTCATGAAAATTGTTTTAAAACAAATATATCATATTTTCGTCGTGAACAACCCGAGTGTTCTTATTCTCGACATATTTGTTTATTTATTTTTATTTAATATAATTTCTAATTGATAAATAAATAAATATTATATTTATACCTATCTTGCTAATCTCAATATCTTTAGTAGTGAAATTGATTTAGAAATATTCCTTCGATGTAGTTAGTAAAATCACTATTAAACATTCTCAAAGACGTCATTGAGCATGATATAACATTTTAAACAAAAATAATTATTTATCGCAGACAAATTACTATATTTCATCACAAAAATTAATTAATCATAAAATGTAGACTTTAAATAGGTGCGAAAAAAAAATACAATAATATTCTATAATTGCATAGACCATTAATATACAGATAGCACAATGAACATTTTATTAAGGTACACAATAAATTTTATTATTTTTATATACTTTAAAATAATCAACTTTACGAAATGCATATAAAAAGATTTTAAGCACATTTTTTAATTGCCATTTTATAAGATCATTTTAAACTCAGACAAAATAAATTATAATTTTAATTCGTTTTTCATGTATATAAATAAATAACAGTAAATTAAAAAAAAAAAAATAATTGGCTTATATATTTATACACATACGTGTCGTAATTATATAATATAATATAAACTTAATGTTTTATTTCCCTTTCACTGGGTCTCAACTACTTTAAATTTTTTAAATTATTGACCAGTTAAAATATCTATAAATAACACATATTTCATCAAGGAACACCAAAATTTTTTTTTCGAAGTTTTAACACATTTCAAACATTTTTCACTCACAACATAATTTTCATAAAAAAAATCCATGAATAATTGCTCATTTGAAATTACCCAATAAAACAAAAATATTAACACAAACAACTATACATATTGATGTAGTATACAGTTTTTATTTAAAACTTTTATAGTATAAAAAAAGTACATTATGTATATAATTAAGGTAACTCAATTGGAAATGCAATTATTTTTAAAATTTAATAATTCTAAATTTACTTCGTTTTTTTTTTTTTTTTGATTTTACAACCCATTATAAAAAAATATACCTAAAAGTAAAATAAAAATAAAATAAATGACTCATAACAGGTATGAATTAAATTCCAATTACAGTTGATTAAAACTAAAATGATTTTTTAATAGTTACGATATCGTGTCTTAATAGAAATAAAATATGAGTAAAAATGCATCCCAACTAATACCCAAAATCCATATTAATTTACCTGTTCTAAAACCAATTTATGTATGAATTTAAATACATAGCAAACAAGTGATATTATTTTTATATTTTAACAGGTCTATTGAGTTTCAATAATATTAAACTTGACGTTTTGAAACGTTACAAGTAACTTCTAACCTTTAATACATTTACACATAGATTTAATTAACTCTAGGTACCTATCTATTTTTCGGACAAAAAAAAAAAAAAATTAAAATATTCTTTACAAAAATAATGTACGATTAATATTATTATTAAGAATCAACCTACTGCAAATATAACGTAGTTAAGTGTTTCTATTGTGATTGAAAAATTTACCCTAACTCATAATAACATTATAATATAATATCGTAATCTAATATTGCATTGAATGACATTATAATAATTATAATATATTTATTGATGTAAACAATAATATGTACTAAATGATTGGTGTGTTGGCAGTACTTTTGTATATTTTAATTACATTCTATTGTTCTTACAATACATATTATTTTAACTTCGTCTTATACTTTAAACTTATCTATGGAATTGTTTTAAGAAATGTACCAAGAAGACATTTATCATTCGGATATTCCGAATATTTTTAGTGGTTTTCATTAAAATCACATGTGGGCGTGTTCTGTTTCGGTGTTGGTGATATTTTCTGTACCGTTGACGACATCGTTTATACTTTCTTCTGTCACGTCTACTTGACCGTCGTTCATATGAGTTTTATTAATTTCAACGTACGTTTCACTTTGAACATTTTCGACTTCCGCCCGCTCTTCGCCACTATTATCGTCAGCTGCCAAATCACAGTTTTCGTTTTTATTTTCAATGACCACATCATTGAAACTATTGTTTTTTTTTGTCTCAGTTTTGTCATCAATAATTAARCCATTCACTCCTTCCGATATGTTATCTTCTACTTGATTACATTGGATCTCCATATTTTCTGAAATTTCAATAACATTATTAACTAATTCTCCTCCATCGAATTCATCTTCGATGCGTTTATTACAGTTTGAGTTATGATCGTCATTGTTTTTCCCGACATTTTCGTMRTCAAACATTTTTACGTCTATTAGTTCGTCACGATTTGTTTTACAGTCGTTACTAATTCCAGTTTCTATAACCAGTGTATTATCATTTGTAACTTCTGATGATATGACATTTGGTTGGTCATCTATCGTCAAATGATTAGTTGATGTTTGATTTTGTTCTTTTTCAGACTCGCGTTTAACTTGTTTTGTTTTACTGGATGATTTTTTTTTTTCCACTGGCTTCGACTCCACAGGTGCCGATGATGAGTTTGCCTGACTTATGTCGTCTTTTAATATTTTGCTGATTTCGGAAATGGGTTTTAACAGAGCAATAAGTACATCGTCATCTCTTCTCTAAAATAAAAACAGCATGCATTTAGACAAATAATTATACAAGTCACCAGCAATAATTATCATAAACACATAACAAATAACATGACTATGTATTGATGTATGCATTATACTATTTAGTAAGTTTGCAAGTATGTTATCGATACTGTTGTTTTGATTGTAATAAGTAATAACTAATAAGTAATAATAATAACAACGTAGATTACTTGCTGTTGTTGACTGAATAATCAACACGCATTTCAATAATTTAGCAATATTACGACACAATAAACGGTTTTAATAAACAATGGCGTATGAGTCAGTATAACGRAATTGGCATTTGAATCATTTGTTTAGCAATTTCTTGGTTTAGCGGAAATAAAACGTATCACAATATAATTAGCTGTAAAATTCAATTCGGGCCGCAAGCCAAAGAAAAATTCTGCTGGCACACGCGCGATTGATAAACTTTGTCAAAAAGGATTTTTTCACCTACGCCGCGGAACAACAGGAAGGGACAAATGACAAAAAAAAATGTAAAAAAAWTWMMAWWAWWAAAAAACAGCATATGTGCGTAGATTCGGAACTTTTATTTCACAAAACGTTGCCAAAACATGTCTCAGTTTTCATTTTACTGAGCAACAATACAATGTCTAAAAAAACTACACGATATATATTCGGAAACGAGATGCAAGTACGYTCCTATATAGGTACCTACATTATAATAATATGGAGGATCACGTGTGACCGAGCGCGGACTTATGTAGGTCGGAATTGTGTGGAAATTTATTACGTTTGTATTATAATTTGTAAACGATTACTACTGACATTGGGACTGTGTGGAATTCGCATTTATTTTGTTTTGTCGAGGAATGCCGGTGGCCATGTGCCAGGGGACGCTCCGGCTTAATCATCACCGGCCATCGATCTATTTCTGTATTCAAGGTGGACACGGCCGTTTTAGTGAATTTACGATCAAATCCTATTTAATTTTTTTTTTTTATACATAGGCCCATTCACAAATGTGCACGTATTCGAGATCGTATCTACGACGCAGATACTTACTTGAAAAAGTATTTCCCGATCGAAATACACGAAACCACGGCGTTTTGCTGCAATCAACAGACCYACCACCTTGTCCGATATTTTCGTGTAAATCTGGAAAAAAAATAGTATACATTTTAAAATATTTCATCACACGTTTCGTGGAATTTGTATTGAATTTATTATTATTATTGAATATAGACTTGAATAGGCACACATAGAAAATACTACAGATGTATTTGCGCTAGCGGAGTCAATCGACGTGCATTACTTCTGGTCYGAGAATATAATGTATAATATTTTACTCGACTGATGAGAAATTATTAAAATATATTAATTTCGTAAAAAAATCATACATTTTTTGAGTTCAACAGGAAAAATGTTGACATCACYCCWGCGSTATATTATATTTTATTTTAGCAGCAGCGGTACTCACCTGAAAAAGTTCACCAAAACTAACGATAATTGTATCATCGTCGATATCTTGGTCTTCGTCATCGGGGGCTCTTTTTTTCGTATTGTAAGTGCCGACATCGTGTATGACGGTGCACAGTTCCAAAATCTCACGGCAAATGTGCGACTTTGCTTTACGTCCTCTCAGATCTGTCTTAGAGCCCGCTATAGGTCTATGGAACATCATATCAATATAATATGATTGAAGTATACGGAAATCGGCAGGAAATTGTATTATGAAAAAATTATAAAATATTTCTGTACATTTATAACGCGTGTGTGTACTCACTTTCCGTATTCTTCCCTGGAAAATCGAGGCGATGGCGATCTTGACTGTTCGAATTGTTCCGAAAACGGGTTCAATGACTGCGATTTTGAATGGCTGTCGGCTTGTTGGTTGAATTTCGAAACGATATCGAGAAACGACATGGTGAAGGGAAATTTTAATACAAATATTAACAATAATTAKTCGTGTACCCTAGTGTATCATCCCAACACTATAGTGCTATATAATGAGCGCTCAACTGACGGAATTGAAGTATTTAAATAGAAACAGGCTGCCAAGAAATTCCGCGCAAAATCGTCACCGGCGATGCAAGAGAACCCACGTGGTTTATGATGTTTCTATTTTTTCGCAAACGTCATGAAACCTTACGAAACTACACTCGGCGCCCGGCGCCTACGTAACAAACGTGTGATTTTTAAAGGTTCATAGGAAACTTTTTTTTATTCATCGTACTCCTCGACACGAGTTACGCCATAATGTTTAGAAAAATACTTTTCACGTTCCAGATAACATAATATAGTACAGCATTTAATCGATCCTGGCGCTGATCGTAAAMAAA